ACATAAATGCAGGAGAGCAAGTTTAGACTGGAATCTTATCAGTCTGAGCCAGAACAGGGTAGCCAATGCTTCACGCCACAGACAGAATGGGGGAAAGAAAAAGATCGAGTGAAGAAGTAAATGAGAGAAAGAAAGAAAGGAAAAGAGAGAGGGAAAAAATAGATGCATGAAAGAGATTAAGAGAAAATTGATGGATGAGAGGAAGAGAAAAACAAGGAAGAGAGAGGAAGTAAATGAATGAGTGAAGAAGCGAGAGATTCAGTAAATGAATCAGTGAATGAATGAGAGAAAAAACAGAAAAGAAGATACATAATTGATATATGAGATATAATCAATGAATAAATAAGAGAGAGAGAAACAAGGAAGAAGGAGGGAAAGCAAATGAACGAATGAGGGAAAAGGCAGAACAGTGAAGAAGAAAATGAACAAAGGATAGAGATAAAATGTTACATTCAGTTACTTAAAGAAAATCGGTATTGACGGCCATAAGGAGACAACCTCTGTTGAAGTCATCAAGCTTTCCCAGGTTTTTCCCTATATTTGAATTTACAGTTTTTTGCTTCTCTCCTCCCCTGACATATTCCTTCTTCTCCTCTACTTCTTAAAACTTAAAGACGGAAACTGTTGCCTCATTTGTAGATTGCATTTTCCACCATTGTATCATTAGGAAAGTTATAAGCTAGCGAGCAGAGAATAAGAGCATGGAGCTGGGATAAGGGATAAGGTCAATAGGAAGAGAAATGTCAAAGAGAGAGATATGTGGAAAGAAAGAACGTTACAAAGCATAAAAGAAAGAGACATAATTGGAATAAAGAGATGCAATTGCACGAACACACGAAAGCGGGATTTTCGATCCTATAAAATTAATTTCCCAAACCAGGCACTTTTCATGATAATTTAATTGCAAGTCTGGATTAGGAATACGCTTAGAATATGTAGTACGTGTTAGGCGAAATTTCATGCACTTCTTAGATGATGCCGGCACATGTTCATAAATCGCAACTATAAACAACTACAAATTTTTCCGGATTCTCAGCTACATTAGATAGTTATCTAACATAGGTCGAATGATTTGGAGATGTGACCTATTAATGATAAAATGGCGATTTTTTCCCACGAATAATTCCGAAGATATAAAGTAGTAACCGCCAACCGCTGCCAACGCTGCCTGACACGTTTCCCCTCAGCCAGTCACCAACTCCGTCCTCGGAAGGGGAAAGTGACTCGTACAACAGCTCAGGGTGAGTTAATGTATTTTCATCCGTTTAGGGAACTAGGAATACATTTAGTTATCGATTTTTATATGATCATGAGAAAAAGAGGTGTAGCGTCGCCAGAATTAGCGAGGGAAGTGCAAAGGAAGAGTGAGTGAAAGGAAGGGGTGTTGGAGGCGTGAAGGGAGCCTGAAGGAGAGAGATCGGGGTCAGTGGAAGAGACGAGGGAGGTCGCGCGATCGTGATGCGTCTTACTGTGGTGTGCTTGGAGGACCTTCGTTCGTGGTGCATGCTATTCTTTCCTTGGATTGTTGTTCTTCTTTACGATGTTATATCTGCGTTTATATAAATGAATATGTATGAATATATAAGCACAACTATGTACAGATTACACACACACACACACACACACACACACACACACACACACACACACACACACACACACACACACATATATATATATTATGTGTGGTGTGTGTGTGTGTGTGTGTGTGTGTGTGTGTGTGTGTGTGTGTGTGTGTGTGTGTGTTTTATCATGTTGGCTAGCTAACAGTTTCGCTGTGCACCAACGATCTTTAAAATAATTGATATTTATTTGTACGTGTATGAAAGCACTTCATTTGCTTTCACGTGTCTCGTTTACGTTTATCGGAAGGTAGACTTAACAAATTTAAGTGAAAAATAACAAAATAAGCATAATTTGATTTTTAAGGGAAGTACAACTCTAACGTTTTATCATTTGAGAGATGTTTTTCACAATTTAAATTTGGTAAATTTGGAAATGCAACCCCACACCATTTTGGGGGTGAATAGAATACTTTTCCAATAGCTTTCGTCGTGTTTCGAACGAATCTAGCACTCATTTTCTTCACAAACGAAGCATAACTACAATATCGGTCTCGATAACTGGGGAAGGTATGATAGGCCTACATATCTGGGAATTTCGAGAAATATCAGTAGAACACTAATAAGCATAGTATATTAACACATTTCCGGGTAGTATAGGGGGCTCCGCTCCCTTAAATACCTTTTCAGGGGTCTACCGCCCCCCTACTCCCCACCTGCTCTACAAAATCTTTACCTCTTATGTTCCGGCAGGATAGAGCCTGGCCAAACCAGGTATCTGACACGTGTTCAATAGATATAGGGGGCTTCGCCCCCTTTTACCACCTTTCAGAGGGGCTGCCCCCCACCCCCGCCTGGTCTGCAAAATCTTCACCTCTATGTTCCGGCAGGAGAGAGCCCAGACCAAGGAACAGTTTGAACCTCATCTTACCTTCAGCCTTACCTCCAGACGGGCCAAGCAGCGGGTCACTGAGATCGTCGGAGTATTCCAGGTCGTTGTTGGCGGGAATTGCGTTCGCTTACAGTAAAGTTACACTGCTTTCTTCGTTTTTAAAAATCATTCTCCATGCACCACAAACCCACTGGTGTCTTGTCATTTCTGTAATGACACGACGTCTTACAGTGCGGGCAGTGTACTTCGATTGGTAGTACACCGTGATGTAGATTTACTAAGCTTATTTCGTTATTTTGTTGATATTTAGTTCGATTGATTGATATGATTCCAGTGTCCATTGATGATCTATTCCATATCAGATTGGTTCTATTGAGTGTCTATATTCACGTCACGATCACGCACGAATCCAATTGGCTCATTTGATTTCCCTCGCATACGTCACCGCTACAAATCCGTCCGATTTCCCGTCGCTCTTAACGACTTCTGTCATTTTGTCGCGGCGTTGGAGGCGGAAAGGTAACTGCGGCTCCTGGAAATCGTGGATTTTATACCCTCTATAACTCCGTTATTATCAATTTGCGTAGAAAATGGTATAGAATAAAACTATCATAGAATGATGTGTTCTACCACATGGTATGCTCAGATTCCTTAAATTAGGTGTGAGGTTGCATTTCCAATAATACCCAAAATATGCACATGGAAATTGTTAACAAGGAAAAACATGAACTAAATATGAAATAAGGAAACCCGAAAAAAGTGAAATTAAATTAATAGAAATAAAAATAAGTCAACGTCATTTACGGCCACCATTTACTTGTGTTATGGGAAGAGAAGATTGTGTCAATCTCATTCTCCATGAGGAAAATGTGGGATGCAAGACACTCCATCCCTCCCTCCCTCGTTCTCACTTCTCACGCAATGGGTGCTGATTTGCCATGGGCATCCACCACATCAAGATGTTCTCTAGCTTTCATTGAGAGAGAGAGAGAGAGAGAGAGAGAGAGAGAGAGAGAGAGAGAGAGAGAGAGAGAAGAGAGAGAGAGAGAGAGAGAGAGAGAGAGAGAGAGAGAGAGAGAGAGAGCGAGGGGGAGGGGGAGAGGGAGAGGGGAGAGAGAGAGACAGACAGAGAGAGACTGACAGACAGACGCCAAGTTTATACTTGAGAAAGCAATACGAAGAAAAACGTTCGATTTTACATGGTCTGTGTTTAACCTTATCAATCTCGTGTCAGAGTCCATTACACAATCACGTCACAAATGTCATGTCATCATAGGCTGGTTGTATGTCACTCAGGCTGTCATTTTTACCCTTTCATGCATACCAGTCTTCCCCTTCTTTATTATATGTTAATAAAACATGTCAACGGCCTATATGACCGTGACCTTATTCCTTCTATCCATATTCTTAGTGACCTGATTTTGATTTTAAGTTTGTTTATATAATAATTTAGAACCTGGGAAAGCTGATTTTGATTTTAAGTTTATTTACAGAGTGATTCACAACTAAGGGTAGATGCATCCAAACTGGCTTGCCTTTTACTGCACTTACAATTTGCAGATTTCCAAACTAGTCGGAAAATTATTACTATTCATATAAAAAATACAACCAGTAGTTTTTAAACTTTTAATGTTCACAGTTACTTTCAGACAGTACATTGCCAGCTGAATATAAGTCGCACAATAAATCGCAGAATTTTTTTATTACCTCACTACACCATGTCTATCATCTTATCCGTGTTTTAGATCAACATTTACGGCAAATCACTTCCACTGAATGTTCGCGGCGAGCGTGGAGCG